GAAGGTTTCACCATGTTCTGGTCTTACTCTTTTTGTTCTTGGCATGATGTTAATATCTGTTCAATTTTATTGGAAATATGTTAAATATCAATGGTGAATTATAGAGGTTAATAAATTCAGTGTGAGGAGCTCAAATGGTGTGAAGTGGGCAACATCTCCTCACACTATTAGACCATTAGTATAATTTTGCCTCTATGGGCCATTCCACATTCAGTGTGAGCCATTCCACCATTATTAAACCATTAGCATAGTTTTGCCTCTCTAATCACCTTCTTTTCGAGAGGCACGAAAGTATGGCTCTTGGTACGATCTTAAGACTGGGGAATTACTCCAGGAGAGGCCCAAGAGGGACAAGACCACCTACTTTTCCTGGCAAAAACATTTCTTCAAGGACCTGTAATCGGTTGCGGGCGACATTACAGAGGAGAGCCGCAACTCCATAATTGGGCCAGGCTACCGCGACGACTTGTACCTAGCCACCTTTGTCAGTTATTTTATCTCTTTTTTTGTTCTCCCTAGCAACCCTGCTGAGAGTATCAATCCTGTGGTGTTCCCTTTGGCTATTAAACTCTGCAGCGACAGTCAGATCTCTTTGGCCCCCCTCTTCTTGGGGAACTTATACTTTCACCTTGACCTCATTCACACGGATATGGGAGGTCCATGGGCCACTATGATGTATGGAGCTTCGTACACACTCAGTTCCTAATCGCCTTCTTCTACAAGTGATTCCTTGTTATGGGCCCCGTCTCTAAAGAGCATGAGTCCTTATTCACTAATGAAGTCCTTGATACAAAAGGTCGTCCTGTTCTAGATGTAGAAGGTTGACCTGTCACAAGAGAAGTGTGCCAATCCCTCCCTCGCATCTCCTGATGGTCTGGTCTTGGCACCAACAAACCCTTCGTGGATTACATTGATCACATGGAGGAGTGTGTGTTCTGTCCTTTTACCCAACTTCTTCTAGGCATTTCTTTTGTCCCATTTTATTTCTCAGAGGCTCGTCATGTTGATTTCTCCCTTGATAGCGTCCAGGCCAACTCCCTTTTACTGGCTACCATGATACGCCTCGAGTTTCTGCCCGTATGGAATGAGGAGGGCATGTCCATTGTTGTATACCAACCGGATAAGGTCCTTAGGAAATTCGACATGGACCAGGGCATCCCTCACGCCCCTCCACCTCAAATAGATTTTCATTAAAGTTTCTAGAGGTTTGCTCGTGACTACACCGCCTTACTCGTGGAGGGCTTAGGCCTCATGGAGTTGGCTTTACTTGGACAAGAATGTGCCTTTACTCCCAGTAACAGGCTATTCTAGCACCGCAACCTCAACTCTTTTTTCAACTTTTGCAACAGTGCTCCCATTGTCCGTGCGATGGAACCCATTCTGGAACCTGACTTATCATTTCGTCTCCCCTCTGGTCGAGAGAAACAGACTAGTATATTCTTCCATTTCAAGCTTTTGTCCCTACCTGCAATAGAGGAGTCTCATCTATCTGGGGCAATGTTTGTCCAACCCTTGTAAGTTGCTCTTCTCCCAATTGGTGTAACAGTACGTATGACCCACTCCAAACTGAGGGCAGCCCAAGAGGCAGCAACATTAGTTGGTGAGGCACGTGCCTCACCAAGTAGGAAGAGACTCCGAAAGATACCCATAGTTAGAAAATATGTTTCATTACTTCCTTGGGTTTTTTACATTTATTTTAGTAATCACATGATCTTTTCCTTTTCAAGGCCCATCGGCCATACCACCTTCGAGCCCCAGAGGTTTTTTTACTGCCATCGAAATTTACTTATATTCAGACGACGACGATGATGATGACCTTCCCATTGCTTCAAGGGTCACACGATTCAGCACCTGCAGAATGGTACTTCCAGATGAAGTGCTGAGGCCGAACCAACTACTGAGGCTAAGCCAGTTGTTAAGGCTGTAGAAAACAAACAAGTCCCCACTACTATGGAAGTTGCAGCGAGTGGTATAGTTGTGAGGGTACAGAACCTCCAAATCTTACTGATTTTGTTTACTCTAACCATTCCTCTATCAGCGGAGATGATTTTGTTCCAGAGACTCCAAGAGAGAATCGTGGCGTAAGAGAGTCACTAGAAGTTGCACCACCCCACTTAAGAGCTGTATCTGGGGGTTCTTTCCATTCCACTGAGTCTCCACTAGTTCCATAGACCCCACTTCCTAATGTTCAAGTTGTTGAGGGAGATGCAGATGTAGCAGATGTTCCTGCTGTGGACCCCCTAAGTTTGGCTCAACTTGCGAAGGCAGCTGTCAATCTGGCCACTCATGGTACTACTGCTGTTGCTGATGTTTCTGACCCAATTACCTCAGCAACTTCTGAGTAGCTCGCTGACCTGTATCCCACTCACTTCCCTGAGGTGCCAACTAATCTTGGGGGATCACGAGACTTTTATGTGGGCATGGACACCACTGTTGTGCCAGATCTGAATGTCAAGGACTACCATATGGATGACCTCTTTTCGGAGCGACATGATGGTGCAGGCAGTTTTGGCCTTTCTCGCGATGTTAGTTTGCCCGGTCACCTCCCAGCATCTACTCATTCCAATGCCGCTGGACAGTCATATTCAGGAGAAATGTGTCACCCTCAGACCTTTGGTCGTTCTGCCAGTCTTCCCCCAGTAATTGAAGCTAGGGGTGGCTCGAGAAAGTTCCTTCAGTCCTCAGGGAAAGTTTCTTTTCTAAGTTATTAGGTCTACTCCGAAGCTGCTCCCACTCTTGTTAGCATCCAGGCGTTGCACCCTGGCACCTTTACTACTTTTAACGTTCCTAGATCTATGGTGCAGACAGCACTGCTGGAGTCACTTGTCGGCTTCATTCACGACCTTGTTACTAAGAAGATTCTGACAACCCCCAACAAGTTTGTGGAAAGTGTTGAGGCCAACCTAAGCGGCTTTGAGAAGAATGATTTGGACCCATCATAGATGAGGGATAGACTTCAGGCAGTCGATGGCTTCCTTGAGCATGCAGACAATGTGGCGATGATTGCATCCTTGTAGGAGACTATTAAGGAGTGTAAGGGTGCCTTGGAGCAGCACCAACAGAACCTAGCTCAGTTCAAAGAAAAGGACTCTGCACTGGTTGCTCAGTTACCTCGGCATGTGACCCTGATGGACTCCCTTACGAAGGGCTTAATTTGATGTATTGTGACTTTGTTATAGTTCTTTTTCTTTGCACTTTTGCTATCTTTTTTCTTTCTCCTTTGCCTTTTGAACATTGTAATCATGCTATAAAAAACTTTGATGTTTATGAGAAGCAAAAAATATTGAGTCTTACTTCATTGCCTTCTTTTCATTGCCTTTACATATCTTCTAAGGCTAAACAAAACTCTTACTATGAACGGAACTTCGCGATGACTAGGTTTTTACAAGGATAAAAATTCACTAAGAATGGAAAACTTTCCTCACACTAAGTGCTTACAAGAGTAGCAGGTTTACTAAATGTATGACACTTTCTTTACACTTTGCTTTGAAGGTGTTAACAAAGAAACTTATAACTCTTTTTTTTAACAAAAGAAATTAGGGAAAATACTCATTTACATACTTAGCGTTGATAGGGCCAGTTCTGAACCCATCATCTACTCTTATCAACTTGTAATACCCATTACTATTTGCCTCAGTAACTTTGTAGGGGCCTTCCCATCTTGGAGAGAACTTGGGGATTGGTTTCCCCCGCATGATTGCAGCCACTATTTTCCATACCAAGTCCCTTTCATTGAACTTCATGTATTGAATAGATTAATTGTAGGCGCGAGCTATGGATTGATGATACTCTTCCATTGCCTGCGAGGCCTGATCTCTTCTTTCTTCAGCTGCCTCTATGTCATTCTTCCTGCTGTTTGGAACTAAATGTGCTGACATAGCCATTCTTGCTGAGGGTACTGCCAACTCAACTAGTAACATAGCTTTGGACCCATATACTAGGGAAAATGGTGTTGCCTGAGTTGGCTTCCTCTTTGACGTTCTATACGCCTAGAGTGCTACGGGGAGTTGTTCGGACCATGTGCCCCTCACTTCATTTATCATTTTACTCAGTATCCGGATGAGGGTTTTGTTGGTTGCCTCAGCGTGTCCATTCCTTTGTGGGTAGTATGGGGTAGACTTGTGGTGCTTGATCTGATAAGTGTCTAACAATCTTCCCACATGGTGGTTCACAATGGGGGTCCCATTATCAGACAACATCACCTTAGATATGCCAAACCTACAGATTATATTTTCTTTGATGAAGTTGGCCACTCTTGCCCCATTTGCTTTCCTCATCGGTATAGCCTTTACCCACTTGGTACTAACTTCAATCGCTGCAAGTATCCATCTGTGGCCTTTGGCAAATGTCCAAGTATGAAATAGGTAAAGGCTCTTGATATAGTGCAGTTCAACCGTCGATGCATGTATTAAGTTCCCAACTTTCTGGTAGGATTGGCATATTCTTACAAAGTTTTTAGCATCTTCTTTATTGTCGATCAGTAGTAGCTGAGGTGAATAAGGTGCCCATACAATCGTTGCGCTCCTTAATGTTCTGCCTTGTGGGCTTCTCTCAACACTTCGTTTGCCTCGTCCTTTGATAAACACGCCAAAGGTTCCCCTTCAAAGCTTCTATGGTACAGCTTGCCTTGGTCAAGGAAGAAGTGAAGGGCCCGTCTCTTAACTCTAATTTCATTAGTTTTGTTCTCAGACAGTGTGTCATTTCCAAGATAGTCAATATATGGCTGCCTCTATGCCTCACTGCTTAAGAAATTGACTTCTTCCTCTTTAGGATGGGACTGACATTTTGCACACTACCTCTGCAACTTAGTGCTTTCCTTTTCCATCTTTGGCCAATAATACCCTTGCCTCTATATCCGTCGGTATAGACCAATATCTCCATCTCCACAGGACTTAGCATGGATCTGCTTAAGTCTGTAAGTTACTTCTTGTCTATCGACGCACCTTGCCAGCAGGTTGTTAGGACCGTGAAAATACAACTATCCTTTGAGGAACAGAATCTTACTCTGTATGTTCTTCGGCTAACACTGCTGGTGTTGTTATTTTCTTGATGACAATGGCTATACTATCATCTGGTATATCCACCTTTGCCTCCAGTGTAGCCAAGGCATCGGGGAAACGGTTATGTGTTCGAGGGGTATGCTGGATTTGGACATTATCAAACTGAGTGAGCAACCTTTGAACTACGATGCGATATGGGGCCAACAGAGGCTCCTTCAAGGCAAAATCACCCATTGTTTGCTTGACAACTAGCTTGGAGTCGCCCCAAATTTTCAACTTGCGGAGGCCCTTCTTTTGGGCAGCAATTAGACCCAATATCAACGCCTCATATTCAGCCTCGTTGTTTGAACATTTGAAGTCAAGGTTATATGATAGATGAAACTTCTCTCCTTCGTGACTAGTTAGCGTTATGCCAGCTCCACATTTTCTAGTTCTGAAGCTCCATCAAATTTTAAGTCCCAATAAGTCTTAACTGCAGCTACTGAAACATGGACCTTACCTGGTAGAGGTACCTCTGCAAGTTCATGTTCACCAAATGGAAATTGGGCCAGTAAGTCTACAAGTGCTTGGCTCTTAATAGCCTTGGGAGTAACACAAGTGATGTCATATTCTGCTAGAGCCAAAAGCCATCTTGTCATTCTTCCAGTCAAAGCGGGCTTGCTCAGCAAGTAGCGGACTGGATCACTCCAGGTCACAACCTAGATCGGGTGTGCCAAAAAATAGTGGCGTAACTTCTGCGCTGTGAAGATTAAGGCTAAACAATGCCTCTCAATTGGGGTATATCGCGACTCGGCACCATTGACCTTGCAACTGATATAATAGACTGGCTTCTCAATGCCATCTATGTCTTGGATAAGTAAAGCTCCAATGGACTGAGGTATAGAGGTCAGGTATAGCAGCAGAGGCTTTTCGAGTTATGGGGCAATCATTGTAAGTGGAAAGGTAAGTGCTTTCTTTACCATATCAAATGCCTGTTGGTGTTCTTGCAACCATTCAAACTTGTGATTCCCTTTCAGTGGTGTCCTAAAGGAAAAGGTTGTCTCAGCAAGGGCTAGAATCAACCTCCTGAGGTATGACACTTTGTCTAGGAATTTCTTCAAGGCCTTTTGAGAGTGTGGTGGTGGCATCTCCATGATTGACTTGATCTTATCCCTATCTGCTTCGATCCCATGTTAGTGTACCAGAAAGCCAAGGAACTTGCTGATGGTAACTCTGAAGGCACACTTGAGAGGGTTCATCTTTAAGCATAATTTGCAGCAATGCTAAAAAAAAAATTCCAAGTCGCAAAGGTGTCTATTTGCCTCAGTAGACTTGACTACCAAATCATCCACATATACCTCCACTTTATGATGCAACATGTCATGGAACATTGTAGTCATAGCCTGTTAGTAGGTTGCCCCTGCATTTTTCAAACCAAAGGGTATCATCTTATAGAAAAAAATTCTCAAGGGCATTCTAAAAGCTATTTTTTCTGCATCTTCTGGTGCCATTTTGACCTGGTTATAACCACTAAACCCGTCCATGAAGAAGAAAATCTAATGGCCATACTAGAATCGACAAGTGTGTCAACATGGGGCAATGGAAACTCATCTTTTGGGCAGGCCTTATTCAAGTCACGAAAGTCTACACAGACCTTGATCTAGCCATTCTTCTTCTTTACAAACACAATATTTGCTAGCCAAGTTGAGTACTGTATAGGCTCAATGAACTTGGCCCTCTGCAACTTTTCTACCTCTACCTTAATCTTTGCTTCAAGATCAAGGTGATACTTTTGAGCATGCTGCTTGATTGGCTTAGAGTTGGAAAAAGTGTCCAGATGATAAGTGACAAGGGATGGGTCAAGACCAGGCATCTCTTCGTATATCCAAGCAAAGACGTCACTGTACCGCTTCAGTAGTTTATCAATTCTGCCTTAGCTGCCGGAGCCATTGTTTCACTGATAAACACAGGCTTGCTTTGCCCTGGTAAGTCGCTGAGGTTGACCTCAGCAAGTACCTCTTGTTGCGGTTTGAGTCTATCTTGCATGCATTCAGGGGCGGGCTCAGACGTCTCCACCAACCCTTCTTGGGACTCATTACCGTCACATTTATTTGTCTCAGGGCCATCCTCTCAAGGTATGAAGTCTGGTCCCCAAGATCGTCATAAGTAGTAAACTGGCTTGCCACCCTCGCGCACCTTGACAATCTTGGGCAGAGGACTTGTGGACTTGCTGCTCTTCTTCTGCCCACTACTTTCTAGAGCAGTCTTTGCATCTCGAATGCCTTCCCATTTCGGCAATTTTACCCCTGCAATTTTACCAGTCCTTGGAGTTTCATCCGTTGACAACTCAGTAAAGAAAACTACATCCGAATAGTATGCCTTCTCCACTTCGAATGGCTTTTCAGACGCATTTATGGTTACTGTGCGCTTTCCCAACTTTGCCTTCACGTATTGGTGATAACTTGATGGGATAGCCCTATATCGGTGCATCCAAGCTCTACCAAGTATCATATGGTAATTTGTGTCCGCTTCGATCACATGGAACTTAGTTACGGAATGATAAGTTGGTAAACCATCCTGGACTCTGGGATACCATTGCAAAGGTGTCAGTAGTGCTGATGTTTATGGATGCCCCACCATCGAGGAAAGCACGCTTGAACTTTACATCACTGATGTAAGTTATGACAAAAAGAGGACGGTTATAAGGAAATATATATGCTCTATCTGCTTCTGAAAAAGTAATGGCCCCATAATCTTTCTAGATGCATCGAGGCACATACTCCTTAGCCTCAATAGCGTCAACATAGTGCACTTCGGAAATATTAATGAGGGCCTTTATTGCTTTCAACCTGGTGGCTTGGCTCAACCCAGCTAGTCAAAAAAGGTGCGAAACTTAACAAAGTTTTGCAAGGCCTAAGCATGAGTATCCTCTATGAATTTTGCCTCTGCAGGTACTGTCTCAGGGAGTTGGCCACTAGCGATTTCTTCTAACTCATTATAGTAGGACGCCATATGTATTTGATCACGCACGGGCCCAAGATACCCAATCATATGTACATTCTTCCCCTTCTCTTTGTGGTTAGGATAAAGGTCATTCCTTACATCACGATTACCGGCATCTTTGAACTTCAACTCATTTGCGTCAACTTTCTTCTTGAAGAAACTTTTCAAAGTCTAACAGTCCCTAGTAGGGTGTCTAGTGATTCTGTGATAGATACAATAATCTGTGCTTTCTTTGTCCTTCTTGGTTGGAGGGACATCAACCGGAGGCAAAGTAAGTTCACCATTGGCTACCCATTCTTTAACCAAGGCCTTAACATTCTCAAGGATGCAAGGATATGGATTTCTGTCCTCATAACTCTTCCTCTTGCGAGTGGATGACGCCTCCCCTTGCAAGCGGCTCCCTCCTGCAAAGGTTACCGCAGCAACTCTGCTACTGCGGAGTAACGGTGACTGTGGCGAGATCTATGCAAAGGGCCAGTGGTACTGAGGTTCCTAGCTGCCTCAACCAAGGCTGAAAAGTTAGGCAGGTTACGGTTTACCAAGAAAATTTTGAAGTCGCGTACGGCACCCTTCACACATATGTTGACTAAATGGGCCTCATCCACTAGTTCATGACAGTCAATAGCCTTATTTTGGAACCTCTTAACATAGTCCAGTATATCTTCACCTTCTTTTTAGACATCTCGCGCAAGTGTGAAGGTTGTAACTTTTTCTTGGACTTGGAATTGAAAGAACTTCATATGGAACTTGTTCACCATCTCCTCCCAACTCTTGATTGAGTTGGGAGCCAAGTTCACATACCAGCTGTAAGCCCTTTCAGTAAATGATTTGGAGAACTCCCAAAGGTGCAGAGAGTGGTCACTGCCATGGACACCAAGAGTTTCGATGAACCTCACCACGTGTTCTTTGGCATTGCCTTACTTCCCATCAAACTTAATAAACTTGGGCCTTGTATACCCAGTTAGGTATGGCATGGTCAATATCTCCTGAGAGTACACATCTGGGTTTGGGAGTGATGGAAGTTACTTCTTGCCACGCTTTTGTTCGAGCATAGCTTGTACGTCGGCTAGAGTAACGAAGTGAGTGGGTTGGAATGGACCAGTCTGCTCCTAGGTAGCTAAACCAGCGGCCGTACTGTTCGCCTGAGGTACCACCAGAGGCACCTGGATCGGAGCTCGAACCTTAGGGGACAAGTTAGGCATTGGGTTTGGGACTGCTATAGGCGGAGGTGCTTGCGCTGGGGCTGGTCTGGATGCCATGGCCATAATAGTCTCAGTGAGAGTTTGCAAAGCTGCTAGGATCTCCCTCTGCGTATCTTGGAGTGACTGGACTGCCTCAACCACAACATTGTGGTCACAGTCCTCCGCATGTATTGCTCCGCCACTGAAAGAGCCTTGTTGTCGTAAGAGTTGCGGAACTTCATCCTCTACCATCTTTTCCAGTGAAATATGTAAGTCACTGTGGGTATAAACCATCAATAAAGCAGACTCCCAAGCAGAGTCGCCCGAAATATAAGGGGGTTCAAGGTTAGGAAAGTGATTAGAGAGGCAAAACTATGCTAATAGTCTAACAAAGGTGAAATAGCTAGAGGATGAGCAATAGCAACTGTCTAGGAAGTTGAAAAGTAAGCAGTTAGGTGAAGGTGGAGTAAGTAATTCAAGAAGAAATGTATGGCAGTGCACAAATGGGCAGCATCTCCCCTAAATCCCCAAAATTCCTCTTGTTGAACCTTGGGAAATGTGTCTTATGTATAGGCTTTTCCTTGGTACGAAGAGGACACCAAGTGGCCAAATAGAGAGAAGACAGGTGTCCCTAAGGATCACACAGAATATTCTTCCTTGAGCCACCAGACTGAAGATGTCACGTGTCCTTCTGCATGTACTGTGCACTATCTGTTAGCCTCCGCAACTATCCTTTTGAACCTCAGCGAGTGTAGTTGTGACGAGAGTGTTTGGTGCTGTAACTTTCTTTTGAGCCTCAACAAGTATAGTTGCGGCGGGAACGTTTGCCGCTGCACTTACCTTCTTAGCTCGAACCTCAGCAAGTGCGCTTACAGCGGTAAACCTTGCTGCGACACTTGCCTTCTCAATTCTACTTGGCCAGTACATGCATTCTCAGGACTCTATTAGTCTGTTATCAACTATGTTTGTGCTCACCTCAGCGAAGCCTCTACCCTTAGCCACCTAACCACAAACTCCCCAGCTTTCCAAGGTGAAGGCCATAACCAAGCCTGCTATCAGCCATGTTATGCCTTAGTACCAAGTCCAAGGGGGCTTCCTTAATCCTGCATGTGTGACTAAAAGCACGTCTATGACCTGGGTAATGGAAAAGAAGTCCCTTATATTCGGGCTACCCTCCTCCCATCTTCGCGGGATCACCGCAGCAAACTGGTATTTTTGGGCTTGCTATTAGCTCCAACCAGTAAGTCTTAGGGCCTACTATCAGTGCTAAGTTAATGAACTTTGAGGCCTGCTGTAGACGTCCCCGAACGTCCCAGGAGGAAATCTCCCGTTTTGTTCATATGGGCTCATTACAGTTTGGACTCAAAAGTCATAGTCCTGTATCTAATCTCGCAGAGTGCAATGCAGGACTGATGAAATCATCAAAGAGTCTAAATCTGGCAAATCATTTTTGAAAACAAATTTTTTGAAAGAAATGTCAAACATGGACTGCTTTGCCAGATACAGAGTCGCCACCTAAATATTTTATTTTAGAGAAATTTAGGAAATCCTGACTCGTTGCCTAAGGCCACGTGTCCATCATCACCAAAGTTGCCTCGGCTCGGGAACTTGGGTACGATTAGGGAAGGTCACTTCGTGAGCACCCCCGCTCGCCCGATCAAAGATCGGCCTCTACTAACCATGATATCTAGTTTTGAAAACATTATGCATTCTTATTCCGGTTATTAGCCTAGATTTACTATGTGATGCGCATAGCATACAAGTATAGACTGGGTCGCCTCAATTGGAACAAAACATTTCATGTTTGTTTATTTGAAAATGGTTTGATGGTGCTACCCGCAAGTAGGCTACGACGTGGATTTGCCATCCTCGGATGGGCTTAGAAAATATGATTTTGCCACTATCTAGTGGGCTTAAAACTTACAATTAATGAATTGTTCCAATTCAAATAACCCAACCTTCACCCACAGGCATTCAGGCAGTTATATCATATAAGCACATAGTCTCATGGTAAGCATGCTATCATGGCAGTCACTCATACACATGCAAGGATGCTAAAGCATAAACACTTACCGAGTACTCCAAGCCAAAACAAAAGCTATGTTAGAAATCCATGCATGATCCTAACTATACAGAAATGCCTAATGCAACACATGCAAAATGCAACTAAGATAGGTTCAGCTATTCTAAAGATGGCATGTGAAATGCTACAACTAACAAGTATTCAACTCAGAATTGAAATACAAATGCAATTAGTATGATGCGCCGAGCCCGGTGTATGCAAGACAGATGAATGAATGCAAACATACTATCATACTGTATGCTAATTGAAGCATGCCCTAATCTAACCATCATAAGCTGGTAAATAAAAGAGAGAAAGACGTGAGGTTGGAAGACATAAATCACACGCACGCACATTTATTACAGTTGTGCCCTCGCTCGGAGGGTCCAAATAAATAATATACAGCCCGAATAAATAGTACAGTCCGAATAAATACAAAATCCTAATTAATTAATAAATTAATCTAGGAAAGCAGGTAAATTAGCACACAAATCCATGGACCGCCTCAGCTCTGTTCCAAATGATGAATGATGCATGCTTAAGTTGCCCTTGCGCAAAAATCCACTACGATGCCCAGTTTGCTCTGTTTGCAATTGTTCTTGGAATATTGCGCAACCTCCAGAAGGCGCGTGATTTCTGATTTACTGCAACAGAGCGCAACAAAGGGGCATGGCAAAGTATTTTCACATATGTATGGCTAGACTACTCTGTCATGGAGTGGTTAGTCCTCGATCCTCGTGCCACCAATCACGCATATCGATGCATGATGGCCGAGGAGTCGAATTGCATGACTCAATGTGAAATGAATGCACATAAAAACACAACAAGACCTAAACTCCATCATGGGTAATCCGGAGTGTCGGCGACCGGGAATTGAGACACGTTCTGTCACTCGGAGTACGAAACGTCCCTCGTTTCCCGTGCTTGGGCTAACTCCTATCCCAAACACGATGCAAATGAGATGGCATACACAATGCGACTAACATACAACCTAGCATACGCAATGCTATGAAATGGCATACACAATGCTCGATGTAACATGGCATACACAATGCTCTAACATACAACCTAGCACGAGCAATGCTAAGGACTGAAATGGCATACACAATGCATGATGGACTTACACCAACACAAGTGGACCTCAGCCACACTCACATCAGTGGCCATTAGATGAAAATGAGACGACCAAAATGCGTGTACACGTGCACGCATACCGAGGACCGAACCTAAGGCATCAAATGCCACTCTACCAAAGCATGGCAAGG